ATAAGTCAAACAATGCACATGGTTGTGATGTGCGTATGTATATATTTAAATGACAAAATGTGTAACAACATTTCGAAGTGTTTCAAGAACTGTAGCAATACAAGAAAATCAAATATTACAACAAAACTCAGCAATCAGAGCAAGAATTTATTTGGATCCTCAAAAAAATAAAGAAATTAAAAAAAATTAAAGTGACAATTGTTAATTTTGGGGTGTTAAACTTAAACCAATATAACCTGAAAATTGGTTTAACGTTCACTAACATAAGGCTTTACAGGCTTTGCGTAAAGATGGAAAGTCATTTTAAACTGCATAGCTGCTGTGACCCTCCAAAAAAGACATGACACAAAAAGCAACGGGTATCCCTGGCAATAAAGTCTTTAATAAGGTTGCAGAAAGGAATCGCCTTTGGCACAGTGGCGTTTTATCTGTTGGATCTTCGAGCCGCAGGACAACAGCTGGTGAAAATGAACAATGCTAGCACATACACACACAAAAAAGCCAAATTGTACGCATTTTTCCACAGAGCAGAGTCAAACCTCTGATGAAAGGTTTGGCTGTAACGCACACTTCCTGTTTTACATTATGCGGTCTCATCATGCTCGTGAGTTTGAACTAATATTGATAAATGCTGGGGCTCAGCAGGACAGGAGTTTGCGCATAAAACAGGTAGAACACACACTGCTAGACAAATAACAGATACTCCATTCTTAGTTTCTTGTTGAACTTCAATTTTCTGAAACGCATTTACTAATTCACAGTTTATTTTAGGTATGAAATTCAAGATATAAATGAAATAAAATAAAACGCTTTATACTATTTTCTACTAAATGTATTTGTATATTATGATCCATGCTGCATATTTCTTACTGTGTTTCTCATAAGGTATAGATCAGTTCAATAGACATATTATTTGCAAATTTTCTCTTCTTTTTTAAGCTTCAGAGCATAACCAATATCACAGTTAACATTAGCTTATCTATTTAAATACTAAATTCCACTACAAATAATGACGACAATAACAACAACAATAATAATAATAATTCTTTCTCCCTATAAAACTATCAATACAGTTGCTCATAATTTTCCTGTCTGTCTCCTTATGCGCTAATTTTAAGTAGGAAAAATCTAATAGTAATCATATTTAAATGTGTGTGAGAGTATTTTGTTTGTCTGTCTGGGTGTATCGAGCAGATAAAAGTCTTTGACGCACCCAAGTCCTCCTGTTGAGCACTGAGACACAATAGAGCTCCATTTGTGCATAGTCGTGTCCACTGTTGCATTTTTATTTTCATTTCACTTTATTCTTCCGAGGGTTAAAAAAAAAGACAACCTCTTTTTACGTTCAGAAAAAAAGTTGGGTTATATATATACACGTTCTAAAGTTGTTGGGGTTTTTTTTGTTGTTGTTTTTTGTTTTTGTTTTTTTTTATTGATGCAATTTTACTTTATAAAGTCGCAGATTTTTATTTATTTAGGCTATTTCTTTTTTCCCGTCTACGGTGAACATTTTTCAATTAACGCCGAGCATGACGCAAAAAAAAAAAAGCTTCCCAGTCAATTACTCTTAATATACATCTACTTAAAACAACATTCTGGTTCAAAATCCAACCGATTTTATTCACAAATTAACACCAAAAACACGCCCATGTCTCCCAGCACAGACCAGTTTACTCTTGGACACACGATCCAGAAAAGAAACTGAAACCATCGATTAATAACACGCACGCTTCGTGTTGTCGGGGAAGCATTTTGGAGGCTGAGGAATAGGAGGTGGAGGGCAGCTATCGATATCTTTGTGTTACAGTTATTAATTGTTGCTATTAAATCTTCATTTCCACAGCTGCCGCGCTGTAATACCCTGAAAACACTTTACTCCAACCGCTGGCTTTGATCGGGCCCATATAATGGTGGCCGAAGAGGCCGCTTGACTCGTATCATGTTCGTCCTGAGTGCCGTTATGAACAATAATGCGGCGTTTTATTACATCCAGCGGAAGCATTTATTTTTCACGAGAGACAGACAAAAGGGGGGGCGGGGGGGTTGAGAGGGGAAAATGAAGGCTCGGTCCAGAACTGACACGAGAATAGTCAAAGTTTATCTCGGCTACACAGAAAGGAAAAGACGCGATTACTGCACGATCGAAAGCAAATCGAGCTTTCATAGCGTTTAAATTTGACAGTCTAAGACGGTGAGTGAAGCAGGTTTAATTGGATTTTCAGGGGAAGGAGAAGATTTGTTATTGAGTAAAAACTGCAATGGTATCTGCCTGTTATGCGCAGGTACGAAAGGGGAACCGTCTCCAACTGTTATCAATTAAAGTGGCTTAACCTAACGGGAAACATTTGGCAAGCCTGAGCTTAGACCAGCAAAACGGTCAAGCTCAGCGAAAAGAAAGGAATATATTTTTGCCCAAATGTTGCCTCAGTAAGTCCTGCTTGGAGACTTTCTGTTCAATTTGTTACCAGAGAGAAATCAGGAGAGAAAACTCGACCTGACAAAGGAGAAACTACGTTCTTGCTACAGAGTAACGTCTGCTCTCTTGAGGAAACTCTTACCTGCATTCCGTTTGGAGCAGAAGATCCAAGGCCATGACTTTGGTCCCAATAGCGCCGCCCAGTGGTTGCAGCGTCAAGTCCTCGGTACAGAAGAGCCGTATCGAGGGGGGAAAAACCTCCAAAATGAAGTCGATGCAGCAAAGCTCACTGAAGGCTCTCTCGCCATCCTGTCCTCTGCTTGTCATCGCTGTCGCCTTGCTTGGTAACACAGTTAATAACCTTGGGTCTCAGACGGTTTATTGCACCAGCACTCCAATTGTACAAATGCTCCAGACCCTCAGACAGCTTTTATGACCACGTTGCCTTGGCAACGGGGGAGGATGTCCCGTAATTAGGGACGGAATTCCAACGCGCAGTAAAGGATGCGCATGGCGAGGCGAGGTAAGGCAAGGCCGGACTATGGCGGAGAGAGGCAACCATAAACTTCAGCCTCTCTCTCCCCAGCGTTTATGACCCTTTTGACTGTCATATATGAACGCCAATGCGCTGCGGCCAGCTCCCATAAACACTGTGATAACAACAGCAAATATGGCGACCCCTTTGCCAGGGGAGGCTGCTGCTGCACGAGTGTTTCCAGGGCCAGTCAGCAAAATGACAGCTTGCACGCACGAAAAACCGAGAAATGATCCAGAGGAAGGCCATTAGAAGACAAAGTGATGTAGAGTCGTTAGTTTTTAAAATGTATTTGCAGCGAGATGCCCCCAAAATGTCATTTGTGGCGGACAGAGTGAGCTACTTTATCGCTTTGGACAAGATGGAAAAGCACCGCGACGCAGCGAGATGGCTTAACATTTTCAGAAAGCACAAAATAAGGGCAGCATTCAACCGTTTCAATTTATTTAAAGTCTACAAATAAACACTGTTTGTGACAATTGACACAAATAGTTCAAACAAACCTTTTTTGGTTGAGCTCGTCTAAGCCAGGGCGTCTGCGTGTCTTTGTGTGTATGGACTGCTTCCAACTTGCATTTGAGAGACCTAATCTTCAACATGTGACTCCCTTCAAATGTTTGCTGCACGCACAGGCACCTGATTGCCGCAATTTCTTTGCTTTTTTTTTCTTCTGTGAGCGTGCGTTTAATATGTTGCTCTTCTGTGCGCAAAAAGTTTCACATGCTCGCATGTGATCCATCGAGACGAGATCCAGCTTTTAACAAAGAAAAAAAAGCATGTGGGCATTAAGCAAACAGGATTTAAACGGGTATCAAAGCTATTTTAAGTCAGCGTTTCATTTTGGTTTTATTCTCTCTTTTTTCCCTTTTCTCCCCCTTATTTTTTATAGAAATGTAATATAATGCACAATTTGGCCATTCCAAAGCAGATCATCCAAGCAATTGAACCCTTTTATGAAAGCGCAAGGATCACGATTCTTGGAAACAAACATGTTGCCAACAGCAGACCAAATCCCCTGCGCAAAGATATGTTAATCAGACAAAGAAAAGACAAAGTAGCACTCTGTCTAAATAGCTGGAGAAAATCGTTGAAAAGACGTAAAGACCTCTTTATATCTATGTATATGTATATCGTGTTGGAGAGTCTATCTAAGTGGGCCAGCTGAGCCTAACTTTCAATGTGTTTATTTAGAATACATTCACGAGACAAAATCCAACTTTTGAAAAAAAAAGAAAAAGAAAATAAAACACTTAACTGAGACCGAGCGTACTTTAAACATCATCAAACTATTGTTAAAGTTATTTGCAAATGTGTTGGATCACACAATATTTTTTGGCTCATGTCAAAGCAACTGATTCCCTGCGATGACCCTGGCTGGCGCTGCAATTAGGGCAACACGAGAAAACGTTTCTTGTCACGATTCCTTCGCGGGTATGTGTGCACATAAAAACCAACTGCACTACCAAATCCCTCTGTTGCAAAATTCCGGAGAATGCGCCTTTGCCTTCCATCAGGGCGACGTAAAACGTGAGCGCATCAACATAAAGATGTCTCCTGGTGTCTAAATGAAGATAAAAAATCCGGTTGGATCAAACAGGCTCTCCGGGATTGACGTTCAACGTCTTTGTTTAGGCTAAATATAGACGAGATAAGCCGAGTGTCACATTTCTGACATGTTTCTCTGGATGTTGAAAAGAAAATTTGGTGAAAGGTGGATTTAAGCGGCACGAAAGGAGATTTTAAAAAATGACTTTGAAAGGAATGACGTCAAGACGTTTTTGCAGCAGAATCTCTTCAACAAAAGAAATTATCTGTTAACGACAGAGGGGGCGGAGGGAGACCGCATTCTGACTGCAAGTAAAAAAAAATAAAGAATGCAATTATAATTTAGAAATGTGAAAATAAGTCTAAAGATGTTTATTGGAGTATAAATGTGGTTTAAGTGTGGTTCTAACCACTTGTGACATTTAATGTCTGTATTTG